GACTGTCAGTCTGTGCTCCAAGGCTAGCTATGACTAAACACACCAGGAGACAGAGCATTCTCTTCCTCGTATTCAAACGTAGTGGCATTGAGATAGCAACACACAGTGTAATACATAAGAATACTTCGAGCTCAGCATCTACAAAGTGCAAATATTAACCAACTGCCTGTCTTTGCTTGGGAGTTGCTGGATGGGAATACGATTGTGTGGGGAAATATCTAGGCTGAAATCCTGCCCCTTTTGAAGTCAATGGGAGTTTTGCCATTGACTTCAATGAGGATCAGGAATTCCTCCCTAGCTCTGTGTTATGAATGAAGGTTTTCTTTTTTGGAGCTGCCAGTGACCTTTGGAAACACCAAATATCTACCCTAAAAACCCTGTAGTGTAAAAGCAAAGAGAAACTCAGCAATTATGAAACTTGATTCCTTGTCCCTGGTTACACTGTAGCTGGGACTTAAAAATCCATGAGGGATATAAAATAAAACTGGAGGTACAGGAGGGGAAAGGGAGTTACCTTCAGTCAGATTGCTATGTTAAATGGTAGAATGCCCTGTTTTATCTGGTACACACCTTCTCCTGAGCAAATATTATATATTACTAACCTAAAAGTATCTTGAAAGATTATGGCCTAACAACGCCTTTATTTACTTTGACCTCAGTGCCGTTTTAATTTTCATTGCTACTCTGCGGTTGAGCAATAATGTTGACTTGAGCTAAGTACAGCATTCTACAGTCTTCTCTATAAGAATAAAAGGTTATCAGACATGTCCCTTGTTACTACAACCATGCACAACACAAGACTTTGAAACGTTTCATGCACAGACTGTAATCAAAATTATGTAGGTTCATCTAACAGTGTTCATTCATTTGCTGTTCAACTGGAGCTATGCAAAATACCACTAACCCTGTATGAGGAAGACTCTTGAAAACTTTTGGGGGACTGAAATATTCCATACAGGAAATACCAGTCTCACCTGAAACATAACACTCTCTGTGACCCCCATTCCTCAATACTGCACTGTGAGCTCCCCGCAGATGAAGACGGCTGCTTGTAAGGCTGGGATTGGTGTCTAGACAGGAATGGAGGGCTAGCCATTATCCCATAGAAGGAGTTGCTGGGATAGGGTTGGAAATTTTCCAAAGAAACATTTTTTTGTCAGAAAACATTGATTCATCGAAACAGAAACTATTTGCAAGAAAGGGTCGGTTTTGACCAACTTCCTGCTTCAATTAAAAAAAAAGTTTTAAAATTATCAAAATGCCCCATTTCTATATTTTCAAAAAAAAGTTTTGTTCTTTGATACGAAATTATTTTGTTTTAAAATTGTAGCTTATACTAAAAAAGTTTAAAAGGTCAAAAACTGAAACAAAATGTTTCAAAATTATTGAAACAAAATGTTCTGATTGATCCAATCCAAAGGTATCTATGTATTTATTTAGTTAGTTAGTTTTCTGGATTATCAGTGTGTGAAAAGTTTTGAAATTTTGATTTTCATAGCGTTCCGGGAGAGAGAAAAAATTCTGGAATCTCAAACTCTAACAGGGTGGGGAAAATAATTTCCTGCCCAGTTGTAGCTGTGTGGCCCGTTCTGGAGTGGAAAGTAAACTGGCCAAGAGGAGGAGGTCAGAAAGGAAAGCACTAAGGGGAATCTGGAGTTGTGGGGGTGTCCAGAAGAGCATTTATAGGAGATTTCAAGTCTTTGCCTCCCCCAAATAAAATCACCTTTGCCCTATTAATTTGTGAGTTTGCTATAATATACTTTGTGAAGTGTAACATTCTAAAGTTACATAAATCTTCGTGAAACCAGCTTAATGCTGTCAAAATTATTTTGCTGAGTTGAACAAATATTCTATGTTCTGTTACTAAGGGCTTGTCTACACAGGAAAATTAATCCAAATTAACTAAGGCTATGGCTACACTAGAGAGCTTACAGTGGCACAGCTGCATCGATGCAGCTGTGCCACTCTAAGCTCTCTAGTGGAGCTGCTCTAAGTCAACGGGAGAGAGCTCTCTTGTCGATTTAATTAATCCATCCTCAACGAGCGGCGGTAGCTATGTTGGCAGGAGAAGGTCTCCACCAACATAGTGCTGTCTACACTGGCATTTAGGTTGGTGTAATTTATGCCGCTCAGGGGGGTGGCTTATTCACACCTTTGAGCGACATAAATTATACTCACGTAAGTGATAGTGTAGACATAGCCTTAAAGTGTGAATTTGAAGTGGATTAGTTAAACTGCATTATACCCCGGCGTGAACACCGTCATTCAGAAGTAAAGTGACCTCAATTCAGTTTATCTTAATTCACATCCAAAGTGAATAAACTAAACTGCATTCAGGACACACAGGGATTTAATGTGGTTTAACTAATCCACTTCAAATTCACACCTTTAGTTAATTTGGATTAATTTTCCTGAATCGCCCCATGTAGACAAGCCCTAATATGTTCTTAAATAATAACAGTAGCAAAAGTAGACACTATTAATGCAAAAGGTAAATTATTAAGACGTTGTCTTATTGTAATAATTGCTGTCTTATGGGTCATTTTAAACATACATTATCTTAGCAATTTAATATCACAGAGTTCCTAAAGATAGTGAGTTCCTTAAATGGATTTTCTAGTTACATTTTTAAGAGACATTGTTAGGAGACAAAATCCTAGCCTTTATATCAGGCATATAACATTTTGCACTTTTTAAAAATGAAATGCATGAGAAAAGTAGAATGTTATGGGTCAGTGATTTAGAAGTGAATGAAGGAACCTGACGTGACTGTGCAGCAGGGTTTATGTCCACCATTGTGTCAGTAAAAATATCCATTAATCATATCATCTGCACAAGTCTGCCTCCTGCCAAGATTGCTAAGCATTTTAGCCAGGATCTTAGCAGTCTCTTAGGCGTTAGGGTCGGTGGTGATACTTTCAGATAATTAATTCTGTGACGTGATGGTTGATTGTTAGTTTGATTTTTTCTATACACATTGGTATCTTTCCCTTTGAATTGTTATCTCCATTTTGGAGTAGAACTTTCCAATAATTATACTGATACTTAGTTTTGCAAGCAGGTTTTCTCTGTGCTAGACCCCAGTCAGTAATGGCCCTTCCCAACCTAGGCAAGGTTTGCATTGGAACTATTAGACCTGGGAGGACTGAATGATAATCTCTTTGTAAAACATTTCAGTTCAGTTCCTAGATTTGTCAAGCAAAGGCCACTACCAGTGTACTGATACAACCCACTCCTTCCATCTCCAAGGTGGAATGTGTTGCTTATCAGGTGCTCCCAAGGCCACATTCAAGTTCAACTCCCATTGAAGTCAATGCAAAAACTGAGATTGGCTTCAATGGCCTTGTGTTCACTAGGAAAAAAGGTGCGGTAACAAACATGAGGTAAAATCCTAGTGAAGACATGGCAGTTGTACCTCTAACACATGATATCAGGCCAACATAAACCCTAGGTTCCCCCATAGTGTTTAGTGTGATCTGTTGACATGTGAAAATTGCCTTTTTTCCTCTCATGGATTTTACCTTGTGATAGTTGCCATGTGTCAGTTAATAGGAGGTAAGGATGCATCTTTTTTCCTAGTGAAGATGGGAGTTGGAAAAGACCCCTAGAAAGTGAGGGGCTGAGTCCAGGGTTCTAACCTGCTTTTTTCTGAATGGGACGGGAGTACAAAACAAAAACACTCTTGTATATGACCTGGCAATAATTATTGAAGAAAAATATCTGATATCACAGATGAGGAGACTAGAGACCGCAAATTAGGTAATGGAAGTAGGCAAAGGGACACTAGGAAAATATTTGAAGTAAAATTATTTAAGAAATGTGTTGTCTACATATTATAACATCAAAATATTATTTACCTCTGTAATGAAGGATTGAGGTCACATACATTTTCATAAACTGTATTCTAAGAGGAATCAGGTTGGTAAACTACACAAGGTGTATTATCTGGGATAGACACACATCTAGCCAGTTAGTGAAATCAAACATCCAGAAGAGAACAGATTCCTCTCCCAGCTGGCTAGGGCAGCAGAAAGCCACAGTGGAACAAATAAATGCCCAATGAGATGACAAGGTTAGTTGCCACACAACTCCAAGTGAAGCCAATGGGAGCCACATGCCATATTCAACCACAGAATGCAACTCTACAGTTTCAAAGGATACTGCCAATTTCTCTCTTCTGAGAAGGGATTCTTGTAGTTGTTTCTGAAGAAGATGGATACAATTTTCCCTTAAACAACACTAACAGTACAGGAGCCAGATTCTGTCTGCTACATATGAAGAGACGGCACCAGATTATGCTCTCTTATGCCAGTGTAAGATACATCTTGTGAAATCAGTGGAGTTTGTAGCAGTGTAGCTGAGAGCATTACTTGGCTCACTACATTTCTCTCTCATTGTAATCCATTCAATGTGGTCTGTGGATTTGAAGTTCTCTACATGTCACAAATCCCTCAGAATGTTCCTGGGTGATTTTTGCCTTTGGATCTCCCTATGGACTATATAACTCAGAAGTCTCACCAGAGTCAAACTTGCTGGAATAATGTTAACTCACACTGAAATTTCTCCCTTCAGATCCACCTGCTTCTGAGAGTCAGATGAATTAGGGTTGTTGGTTTTTGCTAATTCCATCCACTTTTGGCCAAACCATCCATTTCAGGGCTTCTGCCAATACTAATGCAGAAGATGTGCTGATACGGAGATCTGTTCTCCAAAAATAGCTCAGGAATCCTCATTTAAGTGAAGAGGCAGCTGTCAGCCCCTCCAGTGTATAAATAATACTAAATTATGGAGAGCCAGAGTGCTGACCCTTAGTCTGGCAAACTCTACTGTTTTTTGTAAGCAGCCTTAAACAAACCCAAAGATGAAGAAGTAAATGTACTGTTGAGAGCTTACAGCCCCCTGTTAAAGCAGCATGAATGAAAGATGGGAGGATCTTGTCTTCTAGTATTTAACCCTCAAGTTTCAGTAGGTATTTTATTAGTTAATTGACAGTGACTTACGTTTGCAGGCATCTGGGACAGAGAAAGGCCTTCTGAGATCTCGGTAGAAGCCTGGCTTGCAACGCTGGCAATGCTGCCCTTCAGTGTTGTGTTGACAGTTATCACAGACTCCACCACTGCGATTCCCCGAGGCCAGCCATGCATCCATGTCAAAATGACACATGTCAGCATGCCCATTACATTTACATGCTGGGATCAAGCCAAAGGGAACAAAAAGACTCATTAAAAAAGGAAAGATTATGGTGTGTATAAAAGGTTAATGCAAATGCTGAAAAATGAACATACAGCAGTAGCTGAAACAGCAAAGAAAATCAAATGTACATACAGGCCAGCAGATGTCTTTAAAAAAAGTACCCAGTTATACCAGCACTCACATTTCCAGTGTAACTAACTGTTCAAGGAATCTTGCAAGTGAGACCTGTGCCCTGTGGGGGGCCATAACATGAGTTATGTTGGTTTGAGTCTAATGAATTAGGGATTCATGTTTTAATGTAATGTAAGTCCTCTAACATCTTGTCAATATTGTTTATTTTCTTCATTTTCTTAGGGTATGTCTACACTACGGGATTACTCCGAATTTACAGAATTAGATTTTTGGCAACCGATTGTATAAAGTCGAGTGCAAGTGGCCACACTAAGCACATTAATTCGGTGGTGTGCGTCCATGTACCGAGGCTAGTGTCGACTTCCAGAGCGTTACACTGTGGATAGCTATCCCATAGCTATCCCATAGTTCCCGCAGTCTCCCCCGCCCACTGGAATTCTGGGTTGAGATCCCAATGCCTGATGGAGCCAAAAATTTGTCGCGGGTGGTTATGGGTAAATGTCATCAGTCAATCCTCCATCCGTGGAAGCAATGGCAGACAATCATTTCGCGCCCTTTTCCCTGGCTTGCCCGGGCAGACGCCATAGCACGGCAACCATGGAGCCCGTTCAGCCTTTTTTCACTGTCACCGTATGTCTACTGGATGCTGCTGACAGACGCGGTACTGCAGCGCTACACAGCAGCATCCCCTTGCCTTTGCAAGTTAGCAAAGACGGTTACCAGCCATACTGTACCGTCTGCTGCTTTGCAAGTTGGCAAAGACGGTTACCAGCCATACTGTACTGTCTGCTGCTTTGCAAGTTGGCAAAGATGGTTACCAGTCATACTGTACCGTCTGCTGCTGTCATGGGTGCTCCTGGCCGGCCTCGGTGAGGTTGGTCGGGGGGCGCCTGGACAAAAATGGGAATGACTCCCCAGGTCATTCTCTTCTTTAAGTTTTGTCTAATGGAGAGTCAGTCCTGCCTAGAATATCAGGCAAGCCTACTAAAGAACCAGAGAGGCAAACGGCCGCTCCGGGTCAGAGCCCCAGACATCCCGCAGAAATGATGAGCTGCATTCCATTCTAGGGGGTGCCCCTACAACAACCCCACCTGTTGCTTCCCTCCTCCCCCACCCCTCCTGGGCTACCTTGGCAGTTATCCCCCCTTTTGTGTGATGAAGTAATAAAGAATGCACGAATCTGAAACAACACATACTTTATTGCCTCTGCAAGCAGAGATCAAAGGGAGGAGGGGAGGGCGGTTGGCTTACAGCGAAGTCGAGTGAACCACCATTCTGCACTTGCTCAGCCTATAGCTGAAAATGGGAATCTGTGATAAGCACTAGGATAGAAGCACAGGCAGGACTGAATCTCCATTTGTGTGTGGGCCTTTGGTTGACACTGGTAAAATACAAAATGTCCCAGGATATGTATGTTGGGGGACAGTTCTAAACGGCAGCTTTATTTTTTTATTTGCAGCAAAAAGTATCTGATTGTGAGCCCTGGAAGCAAGGGGTAGGCGGGGGTAGGTGCGACCGCGCAGTGCTGCCGACTAGGAGAGCAGCCTGAGGCAGAAGCCTCCAGCTGGCATGATATTCCAGGCAGGACTGAACCTCCATTACACAAAACTTAAAGACGAGAATGACCTGGAGTCATTCCCTTTTTTGTCCATGCGCCCCCAACCTACCTCACCAAGGCCAGCCAGGAGCACCCAGGTCTGCTCAGGTACCCCTGACCAACCTCACCGAGGCCAGCCAGGAGCACCCATGAGACGATGATGACGGTTACCAGTCATACTGCACTGTCTGCTGTCTGCAAGGCAAGGCAAGGGGATGCTGCTGTGTAGCGCTGCAGCACCGTATCTGCCAGCAGCATCCAGTAGACATACGGTGTTAAAAACCTACAATGATGGAGCTAGGCTGTTTTCAGTGGTAGCAGATGACAGAACAAGGAGTAATGGTCTCAAGTTGCAGTGGGGGAGGTTTAGGTTGGATATTAGGAAAAACTTTTTCACTAAGAGGGTGGTGAAGCACTGGAATTGGTTACCTAGGGAGGTGGTGGAATCTCCTTCCTTAGAGGTTTTTAAGGCCCGGCTTGACAAAGCCCTGGCTGGGATGATTTAGTTGGGGATTGGTCCTGCTTTGAGCAGGGGGTTGAACTAGATGACCTCCCGAGGTCCCTTCCAACCCTGATATTCTATGATTCAATGATTCTATGATGATTCTATGTTGGACAAACATCTGTCAGGGATGGTCCTGGTATACTTGGTCCTGCCTCAGCACAGGGGTTGGACTTGATGACTTCTGGAGGTCCCTTCCAGCCCTACATTTCTAAAGTTCTATGATGAAGTGGGTTTTAGCCCACGAAAGCTTATGCCCAAATAAATTTGTTAGTCTCTAGGGTGCCACAAGTACTCCTCGTTGTTTTTGCTGATACAGACTAACACGGCTACCACTCTGAAACCATTCACAAATTTGTTACTTCTAGAGAATGACACTTTCATCAAATTCTTTAATTATTATTTTATTTTTTCTTTCAATTTAGAACACTACAAGAGTGCCCAAATGCAAAATATAAAGCAACATCTTATTTTTAAGTCCAAAGAAAAAGAGAGTAGCATTGGGAAGGTGAATGGATAGCTGTGTCTCTGCACACATGCAGAGAGCAGAGCCAGGGACTCAGCTAGAAATGTCCAGAGAAGTATGTGGTAGCTACTGAGCATATTCAGTAGATTTCTTAAATCTTCATAGAAAGTCATCATTATGGTCAGGCAGGTCTTACATAATCTCTGTCTGAGATATGAGCCAACCAGAGCTCAGCAGAAAATGTTATAAATACAAGAGAAACTGAGAGACTGAGAGGGAGGGAGAAAGAAGAACATGATTCACGGGCAGAAGGTTTGGCTTTGAACCTTTGGACTGAAAAATAAACTATTGCAGTATAAAGCACAAGGGTTACACATACACAGGCTCTGAGAATTCTCCCAATCATTGAATATTCCAAAATGAAACAAAAATTGCAGTCAGCTCACCCTTCTATCCAGGAGCAGCTCTAAATACAAATAATACCACATCAAAACACTGGCCAGTATTTCAGTCTACCCTAACTCCTTCAAAAGCCAGGCAAAACATGAAAGATGGCAAATCTGGGCTATTTCAGACCAGGGGCAGGAGGGCATTCGGAAGCCCTGATGCCTTCCTGGAGAACACCCTGTGTATAGGAGCAATGACCAGAGTTGTGGATTTCTTGAGTGGCACCAGGTAAGACACTTCGGAGCTGATTCTTCTAGAGCTGCTGAGAGCCTACAGCTCTTGTTCACTTCATTTGGAATTATGAGTGCTTAGAAACTCTGAAATCCAGCCTTAAAAGTGACAAGTTAGGCACCTAGAACTTCATGCACACCAAATTAGTGGACACTTTAAAAAAATGTTGGCCTTAATCTTTAACATTGGATATTAAATACCAACATTTAAAATCTCCTGGCAATATTTAAAATGGCAACCCCCCCCCCCAAATAACAACCCAACAAAAAAAAAAAGTACATCTTCATTAATTTATAGTGTATCATACAAACAGTTGTTAGTTATGGCTGATTCTACTTTATACTGAAAAGCCAGAAAATGAAAGCTGTGCCAACTCTTTATCTGTAGTTCTGTCTCTCATCCAGTGTCCAATACATTCTGTTTAACTGCACTGTGCCTGCAATAGGAGCCCAACATCTCGAGTAGTTGTGCTTTGATTCCACAAGAAAGCCAAGCAAATACCTAACATGTTCTTGGTAGAATTTACATGCTAGCAGCTTTGCAAACAGAGCAGTTACCAATGTTTAAACATGAGGTGGATGCTGACGTCAGTTCTCTACTCAGTAAGTTACTTCACAAACAACCATCTGTCGTCTGGCTATTAGCTACCTTTTTGAAATATCAGAGAAAGGGGTGTGATAAGGAATTTCATTTATGCTGACAGTCTTGAGGCATTTTCATGAATCGGTTACTTACATCGACATTCTTTTGGGGCTCCAGTTTTGCCATTTGCAGCCTGCCAGGGCTGGTCATTGTAGAGTGGAGCACAGTGCTGACAGTGGTGGCCTGCTGTATTGTGCTTACACATGCACCTTCCATGGACCTAGTGAAGGAAAACAGAACCAGGATCATTCACAGCATAGACTGCAAGGTCTCTGGGAGCAGTGACTGTGTCTTTATATGTGTTTGTTCAGCACCTAGTCCAGTGGTTCCCAAACTGGGGTTTGTGAACCCCTGGGGGGTTCACAAAATATTACAGGGGGTTCTCGGGAAAAAATTCCCTAATGGCGGACAGAGCTGTCCCTAGGGACCCCGGGCACCACAGGACCAGCAGCCCAGAGCCCCTGGATTTCCAAGAACTAAGCAGATCAAAGCAAGCATGTCTATCACAATGAGGAGATTTAAACTTCAAGACTCCTTACAAGAAATGGAAAGGGAGGTGGATATTTTTTGCTGTTTTTAAAATTAAATAGGCAGCTAGTGTTGTTTTTAAAATTATTATGAAGAACAAGTTTAGGCTTTGTTGTAACATGTGTTGTTTGCCTGAACTGCTCAAGACCTGAATGCTTGTGTAAGAGGAACTCTTGAGTTGGCTTCTTAGATACCTTCATGATGTTTCACATCTGATACTTTTTGATGAAACAGAGGAGCCTTGTCTTATAACAAGCTTATTCAAAGTGATACAAGCTACGAAAGTGAGGGCTCGGAAGAGTGTTGCCATTTTCATAATGTAATAAAAATAGTGTAATGATAAATAATAATTAATAATAGTATGTAATATGCATGTCATAAAAACAAATTTTATATTTCCAAGATCACTGCTTTTATAATTTATACTCAGGTAAAAGAGAAAATCCCTGGAAATATTCATTTTTAGGAGGGGGTTTGCGAGACGACATTTTGGTGAAAGGAGTTCACAGGTTGCTAAAGTTTGGGAATCACTGACCTAGTCCAATGGAGTCCTGACCCCGGTTCTGGGCACCATTGCAATAGTTAAATAATAACGGATAAAACTGAAAAGGGCCTGCACAGTGTCTGCCTCACTAGTCTGAAGCTAGACAAAATAGTCTGCATTTACGCTTTCAACCATATATACAAATATATAACATCCCAAACTCTTCTTGTGATTTTCAAAGCACTATTGGTTGAGGGGCTCCGGCTATGGAATGAACTTCCAGAGGAGATTAGGTGAAGCCAGAGTCTAACTGGCTTTTGAAAACACTCCAGAACCTTCCTCTTTGAAAAAAATCTTTCCACCATACAGAGAGAGAGAGGCAGAGTTTTTCTCTGCAAGGGAGAAGAGCCAGAGATGCTGTGAAATCCACTCAGGATGCTCTTGCTATTGATTTAATGTTGAAGGTGCACAGATACCATGGTGATGGGTGACAGAATAAAGCCCTAAAACAGATAGATTATTAATATAGAGAGTAGTTTTAGTAGCGTACTCTCTGAGTTCCCATAGTTTATCATGTACCATTATATGAAAGCCATAAGTATGGGTACACACTTAGGGCCAGATCTGCAGCCCTTCAGGCTGCTTTGCACTGCTCCCGTGGTGCATAACAGCTGGAAAGCCGAGCGCAAGGGGAACCCTCAGGTGATGGAAAGCTAGTGCTCTACCAACCCCTCTTCTAGCCGCTAGCATAGGGAACACGTTAGAAGTGTCACCAAGGGAAAGTGGGTGTGGCCAGAGTACCACTGTGGTGTGACTATTCTCAGATACCAGCATGGCCCATTGAAGGCTATTGCAGTCAGATACATGTTAGATGAGTCTTGAGCCTCATGAATACCTGCAAACTGAAAATGTGTTGTGGTGCTCAGTTGTAACCAGGCCATGAATCAAAGGTGATCTGCAAGATATTGCAGGTGTGCAGGCACATCTCTTAATATGGGAAGCAACTTCATCAATCATCCATGTTATCAAAAAACATTAATGAGGACTTTGCTATTGTAACCAATGCATACTTTTTGGAGCACTTAGAATAACAGAAATGTAGGGCTGGAAGGGACCTCGAGAGATCATCAAATCTAGCCCCTGTGCTGAGGTAGGACCAAATACAACTAGACCAGCCCTGACAGGTGTTTGTCTAACATGTTCTTAAAAATCTCCAATGAGGGGGATTCCACAACCTCCCTTGGAAGCCTGTTAGAGTGTTTATAGTCAGAAAGATTTCCTAATATCTAAACTAAATCTCCCTTGATGCAGATTAAACCCAGTATTTCTTGTCCTACCTTCAGTGGACATGGAGAACAACTGATCACCATCCTCTTTATAACAGCCCTTAACAGATTTGAAGACTATTATCAGGTTCCTCCTCAGTCTTCATTTCTCAAGACTAAAGATGCCCGGTTTTTAAAATCTTTTTTCATAGGTCAGGTTTTCTAAACCTTTTATCATTTTTGTTGCTCTCCCTGGACTCTCTCCAATTTGTCCTCGTCTTTCCTAAAGTGTGGCACACAGAATTGGACACAATGCTCCAGCTGAGGCCTTGCCAGTGCCCAGTACAGCATGACACCTGTGTTTTACATACAACACTCCTGTTAATACACCCCAGAATGGTATTGGCCTTTTGTGTAACTGCATCACATTGTTGACTCATATTCAAGTTGTGATCCACTATAATCCTCAGATTCTTTTCAGCAGTATTACCACCTAGCCAGCTATTCCTCATTTTGTAGTTGTGTATTTGATTTTTCCTTCCTATGTATAGTACTTTGCACTTGTCTTTATTGAATTTCATCTTGTTGATTTCAGACCAGTTCTCCAGTTTGTCTCGCTTGTTTTGAATTCTAGTCCTGTCTTCCAAAGTGCTTGCAACCCCTTTCTAACTTCCACATGATGAAATTTGTAAAGGCCTCCTAGTATCTGGAAAGGGATAGCTCAGTGGTTTGAGCATTAGCCTCCTCAACCCCGGGTTGTGAGCTCAATCCTTGAGGGGGCCACTTAGGGATCTGGGGCAAAATAAGTACTTGGTATTGCTAGTGAAGGCAGGGGGCTGGACTCAATGAGCTTTCAGGGTCCCTTCCAGCTCTATGAGATAGGTATATCTAAATTGAGTTGACCAAACAGAGGTGTTTTATTTTTAAATAAAAATTTACCAAGAGCAGTAATAGAAAAATAAATGTAAAACAGTATTCAGGGCATTTGAAATGAGAGTCTTTCTTCAGATGTCTGACTGATATCCAAGCTCAAAAGATCTTTCAATGTTTCATTTTTGCTCTAAATGAGAGTTGAACACCACCTAATTGCTTGGCTTTTCCCCTTCTCCAGCTACACTTAAAATTATATAGAACAGAAGCTAATAAATCAAACAAGCTTGCTCAGATTACTTCCCATTAAGATAATGAGCTAGATTCACTGGTCCACTCTGGCTGCTTTGTGCTGCTCCGACATTGCACAACAGCTGCAAAGCCAGCTTGACCGGCTAGTTACGCCAGATTTATGGCTGCTTTGGGTTGCAGGAGCAATTGAAAGCAGTCAGAGTGTGCTGATGAATCTGGCTTAATATCTGGATGTGTTTTTAATTACTGCTGTAAAATGGTACCTTAAACTCTTCTGTTTGTGCTTTTATAACCTTATTTCTCAGTGCACTGTTTGCAACTGGGCCTCACACTAAAAAAAAAAGATTCTGGAGAAAAATGTGTATGTAAACATGGGACTATTATGTACTCCTGAAAGAAACTAAACAGAAAGGGGCCTTGAACATACTGTAAACAACCCCTGCTTAGCCCACGCCCGGAGTGGGCAAGCAGGTATTTTGTAAATACTGTTTGTCTCAGAAATGTCCAGCTGCACAGTGGGAAAAATGTATTACACCTACCTGGATCTGGTGGCTGTGTTTTTTTTGTTTGAGTATGTAACACTTTGATGATATTTCTATTGCTGAGTACAGGTCTGTCGCATCTTACGCGCATTTAACGTGCGCGATTTCAACTTTACGCAGTCGGCAAAAACAAACAAACAAACAAAAAACAAAAACAAAAAAACAAAAAAAAGAGAAAAACAACAATTTTAATACTATACCTGTAGTGCGGGCGATTTCGCCCGCCATTGAACTCAATGGGGTTTTGGCTATACGCGGTTTTCACTTTACGCGCTAACCGCGGAACGAAACCCCCGCGTAAGATGAGACAGACCTGTATTATGTAAGACTTTGGCTGTTTGACAGTTAGACTGTAACTAACCTCTTAGACCATGTTTGTGTCGAAGAAATCCTTGAGCATGTTTAGTGGAGTTCCCCACGTGACTTATACAGCTATCAGGGAAGAGGGAGCCACAAGGTCCGTGGATACATGCGTTTGGTGGGGGAGAGAAATAAGGGAAACCACTAAGGGAAACTGCTGTTCTGTGGCTGTGGTAAAAGAACAGTGTCTTCTGAATCAGGATTAGGCTCTTTGCATGATGAGTCTGTAGGACTTTTGCAGCCACGGTGCCACATTCTGGCTGGTTAGCACTGTTGAGCTAGCGTACCGACCTTTACAAACACACACTGCATGAGGATGACTTATTTAGGGCTAGATTGTGATTTGGACTTCACACCTGCACAGGAGACTAAGGTGTAAAAACCACCCTTACTCTCCTACCTGGGCAGTCTGAGCATTCATCTCCCTGGATCTAGCAGTCAGGGAGTGGGTGGGGATTGAGTGCAGCCTTGGCTACACACCTCCTCCTTGCCAGCCAGCACAGCTGAGCTGCTGTAGGGGAGTGTCACGGTTTGCTGCTGGCATTTGTCTCTGAGACATTATGCCTCCTCGATACTCCTGGGGCACATACTCCTGAGGTACCACACCTTGCCCAGGGCTGTGCCTAAAGCCACAGTCTAGCCTAAGTGTTCAGCAATTCTTCCCATGCCCATTGGCCATGAAAAAAAAAAAAGTGGCAACTCAAAACAATTCACAACAATAGAGCAAAACAGCAGTTACAAATAATGAGAAGGATCAAGCACCCTTGAACTTCAACAAAGAGATATCATGGACACCACCCCAAGAAAAGGACACATGGACCCAAAGTATAGCACCCCCTTTCTGTAATGAATTGTATATGTCAGTGTCTTATAATACGTTACATTATACTGCCAGAACAGGAGGGAAGAAGGGGCAGAG